AAAGATTGGAATTATAAAAAAAGGATACAAGGAAATTTTTTTTCAATAAATTGCATGCTGGGATCTATTGCAGTAAATTGCTACTCACAAAAGCACTAAGTGGCTGTTTCTGTGATGTGATTGGGAGCTATTGATGGCGTGATAATATTCTTATTATTAAGACTGTTTAATTTGACTGACTGCAGGGAATTTATGTTGGGTGACTATGAATTTTGCATTTGACGATTGGGAAATGCCTGGAAAGTGTAACCCTTATGAACCTGGGTTTATGGATTGTACACAGTGAGTCACAATAATGACAATAGATGATCAGAGCCAGATTACCCAATAAATAATTACCTAGGGTCTGGGCCTGAGGGCCCTGGTGTTCCCCTATCTGAGCCTGGAGGTCCATGAGAGGGTCAGGGCCCCACCGGCCATTAGGCAAACTGGGCAACTGATCACAGGATCTCCCCTGTGACATTTCCCTTGAACTCTGGCCTGTCAAGCAATGCTCTGACATAACAACACAGTGCTGCTGCTCAAGAGAGGCATATACTTAGTCTTTATGCAGCACAGGTGTAGGGTAGAATATATCACAGGACTAACAGGGATTTGAATGCCCCCACCCTGCATACACACACACACACACACAAACACACACACACAAAACAGCCACTGTACACACACACACTGAATTTCCTGTATGCACTCACATACACACATTACAACCATTGTGCTCACACTGGATCCCCTACATACACACACTTCAGCAACTGTACAGTACACATACACAATTGATTCCCTACACACATACTGAACTCTCCATACACACACTACAGACCCTATACACAATCTCCTGAACACAAACACACCACATCCCCTATACACACATATACTCCAGCCCCTATAGAAATCACACACATGCTAAATTCCCTATAAAGATACTATATACACACTACACTTAACTCTACTCAGAGTCCCCTCCATACACAAAATGCAGCCACCACATCCAGATCTCAGCCTTCTTCACTATACACCCTCAAACACAACACTTCGCCTCCCCACACAAGTACACCCAGCTGCATCCATTCAGAGAATGGAACCCAGGGCTCTAGGAGTTAGTCCCAATCTGGCATCCTGCCTTTGGCCCTGGACAATTTTAATCTGGCTCTGTCAAGTAGAGCACGGAAAGCTTGCTTTTAAACCCAAGCAGGTAAATTTGATAATTTACAAGCAATATCTAATTTTCACCATTTGCAATGCATAATAAACATCTTCAACCTTTAATGTCACATCCTGTTTTCCACTGCTGGTCCTGTTAAAGGGAAACTATAGTCACTAGAACAACCATAGCTTAGTGTAGTTGTTTTGGTGTGAACAGTATGCTCATGCAGGCTTTTTAATGTAAACACTGCCTTTTCTCTCAGATGGCCACAAAAGGTGCTTTCTGGGTCAGTGATGCATAATGTGATGGATTGATTCAATATATCTCTATGAGGAGATTCTGACTGGCACAGTGTGGCATTTTGCTGCACATGGGCAATAACCTCCAATGAGAAATTATTGGGTTGGCTAAGATTGTCAAATCTGGAAATAAGGTGAGTTTTACACCTTTTTAACAGAGGCAAGGGAGGGGGGACCTAAACTGCACATTTAAAACTATGGCATAAGGAATACATGTTTGTATTCCTGACACTATTGTGTTCCTTTAAAGTGAAATCATAATTTATTTAATTGTATCTACATCTTTTAATTTACTTGCATAATGTTCAAATAAGCTATTTTTTTGCCCACCTTCTAAGTGTCTTTATCTTTTTTACGCGACACTAAACTTCTGCTACAAAGATCCAGTTGTGTCATCACTCCTTCTTTGTGGACAGCAACCTTCACTCTGGCACTGCTCGTCATTGGCAAACTTCCTGGTATGCTGACCATGTCAAGTTGCTGGATTCAACTGGCTGGTGTCAAGTGCAGGATGGGGAGGGGAATGGGGTGTAGGGCTACTGGGCAAAAGAATGTATCTGCGATTATGAGCAATGAAGCCAAGCAAGAGAACAGCCTGTAGACATGTTCTCTTCCTTACAGACATCGGCATATAGTCTATGCCGGTAGTCTGAATGACAGGAGGGAGAAGGGGCACAATGTTCATTGTGGTATTTTACAAGAATAATGTAGAGATAGAATGAGTAGAAGGCTTTAATGGAAGAAAGTGGAAAGACCCATGACATGTACCATTTAACAGTAAGTTTAAAAATGTTTTAATACAACAGATAAGTATTGTCCATGATGTCATCAGTTCATGCTCTAATACAGATGCTGCAGTAGTTGGTAATTTTCTGGCAGCTCATTTGCACATATGGTAGAGTTAGTGATAACTTCACGGAGTACCATATTTAACAGTTTGTATCTCTGGTATCTCAGGTCCCAGAAATCTATTCGATTGGCTTACCAGCATGCCTGTTATCACAATGTAATTATTTTTTTTACCTTACCACATCCCAGACACAACTTAGCTTTAATGGACATGTTTTTGTTAATGTATTTTAATACCATACCATACAAGTTTAGCTTTATGTATAACTTAATCAAATATTACCTTTATCCAGCTAAAGTACTTTACAAAAGGCACACAGCCCAAAGCATATTAACAGGGCTATTAGAATAACAAATGCGGGGGATCATGCTTCCCTTGGAATTTTACATATTTTCTTGAAGAAGACTGAAGTTGATAATCCAAAATTAACTGACACACGGACAACTGGCTATATGCCCCAATGCCTATGAATGAGAAGGCAAAGCCTGTACTGTCAGCCTCTACTTACCTCTATAAAGCACTACACCACAATTCTTTCTGGCAAATCAGATAATGTCCCTGTATCTTACCTTGTTAGGTCGCATGACCCAGATCTTTGAACACTCATTAGGTCATGAGGGAAAACTTCCCCCATAAAAGTTTGAAGTTCCAAATTCATATATTTATTCAGAAAATATGTTTCATACTTTTAAAATAAGAAGGTTTAGGAAGAAATAAAGGTTGGGAAATCATGTGTATAGGAAAAGAGGGAAATGAGTAATTGGGAGAAAAAGAAGTATTGGTGATTGGAGAATATATCAAGGGAGAGAAATAAATTACTTGGAATGAATATGGATGAGTGATTGGCAGGTAGGAAAAAAAGTTGGTGGCAATAAATGATTGAGTGGAAAACAGGGCCGTCCTTTGGGGTGTTTGAGCTGTGCAGCTGCACAGGACCCCATGGCAACAGGAGCGCCAAGTGGCTGACACAGCTTGAAACAGCAGGATTGATGGTGCTATTAAACACGGCAGTTATCATCGAGTTGCCGGAGCTCTGCCATTAATGCATGTGCATGCACAGGTAGTGGGGTGGGGAGATACATAGCAGTAGGATGGAGCTGTGTTCAAAGAGCCCAGATATACCTTCATTTGGCAGACCAGATGGCCAGTGGGCAGGTGGAGAAATGACAAGTGCATTGTCAGGTTGGCTGTAGACGTGGAGTGGGCAGGCCAAAGGGTAGAAGAGAAGGACAACTACACTGTGCAGGGCAGGCTTCATCAGTAAGACACAGCTGATACTCTTTCAGCCCTGTGAGCTAATGTTCCATTCCTGGGGTTGGCTTCCATTCTTCTGAGAACCTGGAAATACTAAATAACTTGCCCTTTCCCAAAATACCCATTCAGGGCATCTCACACAATTTTGCCCACATGTGTCTTTACATATCCAAGCCTGCTACAACTAAGTGAGGTTTCTATATTTTTCTTCTTACCATCAGAGAGATCAGCAAATCAGTGCAGCCTATTTCTGAGCAAAATAGTTAAATCCCTTTAGCTAATTCCTCTATAAAATCCCTCTGGCACCAAATGAATTAAAAATAAAAATGAACAGAAGAATCATGTGGGATTTATAGATACAAGCTTGTATAAGTGTGAATATATTAACTTTAATGTCTGGATAAAGAGCAATCTCATCGCTCCCACAAACAAATGACGGGAACTTCAAAGGGGTGTCTGGGGCTCAGCTGTCCTAGCGTGAAAATGAGCTAGTGATGGAGGCAACACTGGGAGCTGCACATACAACACCGGTGGGGAGAGATACAATGAACAGAGCTCAGATCAGATAGGGCGTGGAAGAGGAAGGCCCATATAGTGTGAATATAAGAAAAAATTTATACAAATGTGCAGGAAAGTAATAAAAAAATGAAGCCATAAAAATGATGAGGAAAATAAGGAATATAGGGAAGAAGGAAAATAAGAAGAGAAGCGGTTAGAATAGAGGTAAATAAAATAATAAATGGAGAAGATAAGAAATGAAAAGAGTGGAAGGGATGACAAATGGAAAAGGAGAAAATGTAATATATAAAGAAAACAAAGAGGTGTGTCTGCAGGGAGTAAAACAGGAAATATGATGAGGGGAAGAAAAACTATAGATATTAGAAAGCATTACAGAGGCTTATAGGAAAGAAGTAAAGGAGTAAATGGGATAATTTGCAGCATAAAACTACATAAAGATGGAAATGAGGAAGGAGGTAAAAATAATGATTGAAGGCAAAAAGGAGAGAGAGCTAAAATCAAAATGCACTAACCATAACCAGGAATAACAATAAGGTGACCATAGCAGCCGAGGGGTTAGACGATGGGTTACCAAAACAGTCCTCAAGACACCCCAACCAGTTCAGGGTTTAGGGATTACCCAGTTGTGTGTAAGGTTCTTATGTTTTCTAAAAATCCTGGACTGGTAGCGGTGCCTTGAGGATGGATTTGGGAACAACTGGATTAGACAGAGGTCTTGGATCCATGAATTTGCTTTGCGCCATTAACTATCCTCATTTGAAGAATGAAGTGGTTGGGGGGCCAATTGGTCACCTGGTTGAAGTCTCGTTGGATCTTAATCCTTCTCTGGTTAAGACACTGACTGTTCTCTGAACGTACCTTGTTCTCCCTATTGGATGCTGAGTAGTGATGTCCCGAACGGTTCGCGAACGGTTCGCCGAACGGTTTGCCGCGGACTCATCATTCCAGCCAATCAGCAGCAGACCCTCCCTCCCAGACCCTTCCACCTCCTGGACAGCTCACTAAGAATGCAGCTTCAAAATGGATGCTGTCCAGGTGGGAGAGTCTGGGAGGGAGGGTCTGCTGCTGATTGGCTGGAATGTGTCTGCTGACTGTGAGGTACAGGGTCAAAGTTTACTCAATGATGAGTCCACGGCGAACCGTTCGGGGCGAACCGTTCGCGAACCGTTCGGGACATCACTAATGCTGAGAGCTCATTCACTGTGTGAGAATTTTCCACTGGACGATGATTTGCTACCTTTTGCTACCATACTTTTGTACTACACACTTATTTTTTCTCCTCCTTCACCTACTATTGTAATTCCAATAAATAACGAATTAAATTGCCACTAACTTCTATCCACTTTTTTTGCAAGCCACAGTCTACTGCTATATTTACCTACAGTGACCTGCAAACAAGTTTCCTTTTTCAGATTTTAGAATTGACTGGAATTTTCTTTACAAACCATCCAAAAGGGCTTATAAATTTGAATTCTGATGTCATATGTACTTAGTCTTCCCCTTCTTAAAAAATGGCTATGTGTTTGAATGAAAAGTAAAACCTCTTAGTAAACTAGCCATTAAACACTTCTGTAAGTGCAGTAAATGAATAATATGCGTATAAATTTTTAAAGAAAAACGCTGTTTCCTACTTTATTAATTTAATGGTTGTTTAATGGTTTCCTGCATGTCTTGCAGAACGATTTTATTTCATTGTGATTTTCTTTTTATGTAGAAGTAGAAGGATTTATACAGCAACTATATGCAGACTTTGTATGAATATCTGCATTAGCTGGTGCAGGCACATACCCACACAGAGCAAATAAAACCAAAATTAAACTTGTACCACGCATCTCTAGGTTTAAATTTCCCCTTGGCCAGAACAAAGAGCTTGATGCCAGACAATACATGTAATAAATATATAAATAGACAACATAATCTTTATTCAGACATCAGATCACAAGCCAAGGAAATTTTCAAACGTTTATATAATTAAAGATCCATCTAATTTCACAGTAAATTTATATATTTTTTCTTGTAAATTACACCATTTATTGACTTGAAATACACAGGCATAGATTATTTTGGCATTTATAATACCCATTGTACAGCGCTATGGAATCTGATGGCGCTATTTAAATAATAAAATAATAATAATCCAAGATGTATATAAAGATTATATTGCATATTTTTTTTTAATTGTTTTCATCTAGCTCTTTGACTGTTGCTAAAAGTAAGGGGTCCCCCCACCCACTTTTTTTTCTAGCTTTTAACATACTTTGTTTAGTTCACTAATTTCTTGTGAGAAAGGCTTAGCTAAAGAATTTCATTTTTGCTCCACTGGCTGAAGTCTCGAGGCTATAAATGATATCTACACCACAGATGCTACATTATTTTGCATACTCTTAAAAATACACCTTCTTTCAAACAAAATTATTCTATTATGAGCTGTTAATATATTCTACAGTCTACACAATTACGTACGCCTCTCTCACCAACATTAAAAAACCCACCTACTTACAAAACACATAACTGACATAGCATATATTAAGCCCCTTTATCCACCAGACCACTCAAGTGAGCTCGTCTGATCTCATATCTTTCAATCATTAGTTTCTTTGACTCTCATCCAGTATAGTCATCAGCCTGGCCTCTGCCAGTAATATGGTCAATTTCTAAATGAATGTAATCCTGAACTCCACAAGTACTGCAAAGCATGTGGGATATATCATCTTTATGTGAAACATTAACATGAATTTTAAAAAAAGACATTGTTTCAACTTAATAGTTAACAATAGCTGTCCAGGGTACTGAAGTAGACATTATTTCAGAGAATCCCCCTGTACAGCCCCTTGAGTTGCTCTCCAAGGTCCTGAAGTATAGCATGTATAATAATAAAAGATGTGAGGAAGTATTGTCTTAGAGCTCAAAACACTCTCTAATTAAGGGTGCTTAAGTATTCTCCAATGGAGTTTTATTTCATTTTTGTCTCCAAAGTGTTGTTCTATCAGAATGCTCCACTAACTGCTGTTATTTTAGACGTCTCTGAACGTCACTGTCTTATCAGAGCGTTCTTTCTGAACTAGTATAAGGCTTAATTTCCCATTAGACAATGGCAACAACAAGATGCTTAGAGGCAAAAGACTTCTGACTACTTATTCCCAAACTGCAGCTCTTTAACCCCTTAAGGACACATGACATGTGTGACATGTCATGATTCCCTTTTATTCCAGAAGTTTGGTTCTTAAGGGGTTAAATGCCTAATGTACAGCACTAACACTGTCATTTCCAAAACAGGTTCATATCTTAGCTACATTTTGCAGAGTACAGCACTTTACTAAGTATTTTCTGAGCTTCTGTTTGAGAATAAAAACTATTAAAAGTAATATTTCCTGACCTTACACTTCAATGTAGTATGTTGAGTATTTCATAATAATAACATTCCATCATACAGTGCTTACAATACAGTATTTTAATTGTAAAAAAAACCAACAACTCTTCAAAGTATTGTACTGAACATTTTCAATGTTACTTTTTGGAAAAACAAAAATGTCTAATATACTCTACTGAGTATTTCTAAATGTTTTATAACAAAATTCTCCAGTGTATATTTCTTACTGAGATAGTGTCATATAACAATAACAGTGTTATTCAGAATTCAAAGTGAATTTCAAATTTAAGGTCAAAATAGCCAAATGGCAAATATTATCTAAGTCAGCTATGCTTTCAGTTTAACTACTACGGCCTTAAAATTTCAATTCACTATGAATTCTCAGTTTAGTGAATAACCATCTAAATCCCAAATGTACTTTACTAACCTTGTATTTTGATACTGTTTTATAATTTTTTTTTTAAAATTTACTCCACTGAGTTACAGGGTACTGCTTTTTTCAGTGTTCATGTTTATCAAAGTACTCTCCAAGGTACTGTGCTTAGAGAGTAATTCCCATTTATTACCTGGGGCAGTGATGGCTAACCTCTGGAGTGCCACTACTGTACTGACTCTCGTTACAGAATATTTTTTCATGGTAATGTCATAGGACTCACTATTCACATACAGGATGTTCCTTTGAGTTGTGCTATCAGTAAGCACTGAAAGGTAATGCTATTAGAGCACTCTTCAAAGTACAGAGGATGTTAATGATGTCCTTTCATCTTAAAGCATCTAGAGTATTCTAGACTCTACTATACTGTCATACCGTTTCCTAGTTTTCTGATCAAGGCACTCTTCACCCCTCCGCTCAGCTTCAACAGTCTGCTAAAATGTCAGAGCAAGACTTAAATCTTTTTAGGGCAATTTGTTATTGCATGGTAAACCAGAATACCCATAAGGTAACACTTTGACAAGGGCATCTTGTAACCTACAGGAAATTAGACAATGCTCCAGGATACAGAAAGAATTAGCACACTCCCTTAGGGTTTACTGTATTTCCCTGTGGTATATGGAATTAGACTATTCTCTAAGGTGTAGAAGATTACATTTATGGGAAATTAGACAGTTCTCTAAAGGCCACAAATTAGACTGCTCTTGTGGCTTTAAAAAAATCGCAGCATACAACTTGATTGCGTGAATTAAAAAAAAAAAAAAGAATTTATGTTTTAACCAGGACTGATAAATAACATTCACCAGTTGCTGTGGAGTTAATAATGGATTTATTCACTTAACTACAATTATGGAGAGTTGACAAGGTAATTGCGTGATTTAGACCCCCCAAAAATGCTGAGTCTGCAAATTTTTCAGATTTGACTATTTTAGCATTTTTATATGCTATATTTAAATTTTGTTGGTTTACCCTACCCCCTCCCATGGCAGCACCTGGAAAATAACGCAACCAATCAGAAGCTACAAACTGTTGATCAACAATCAGTGAGGCTCGACTACTGCAGAAGAGGCACGTAATAAGTCAAGATACGTTTACAGGGATTAATAGATGTTTCTCTATGATACGTGGAGCTATTTTTAGCGTGCCGGTATGCTATTTATAGCAGCACTTCCATATATGGTGTCAAATGGCATCCCACTGCTTTATTTGCTTAATATTCTCTGCACAGAGAGAGGGGGCTGTTTTTACCGTGCAGCAGGGAAGAGATGGGGGAGGTTATCTGTGTAAGACTAGCCCGGCCTGTTTCGACCATCATACAAGCTTATCAAACAAGAATTGCATGTGTGTTGAGTAAATAATAGTAGGGTGTATGCATCTGGGCTCGAGAACGTGGGATACACACAGAGAGAAAGCAGGAAAAAAAAATTAAAACACCACACGTCAAGGCAAATTCTAACGTCCCTAATATTAAAGCTGTGTTATTTTTACTGATCCGGCACACAGCTGCTTTCTGTCTCTCTGTTCTTTAGTACAGATAAGGTTTGGAAGTACACTGAGCACAATATACAGGAATAATTACAGTGATTAACCCTGATTCTGCCCAACCGGCCTGCAATACATTCATGCCATTTCATATCACACTGGGGTTTGTTCAGTAAACAGTAGCTTCACAGCTGAGTCAATGCACTGTGCCTGCAATACCTTTATTTTATTTTGTCACTCATGCTTATTCTCTAAACAGTGAGATGGCAGGACATCAACAAACAGTCTGCAAGAGATCTTTGACTTTTCTACCATATTGTGTTTTATCCCAAGCATGTTATTTAATTGGGGTGTATTTGCTAACTAGTTAGTTGATGTTTGATTCATTGCAAGGGCTAACTACCTCATTATACATCTCTCTGGGGTTAATTTACTAAACAATGACTTAATGGTTGACTCAGTACAATTGTGGTACATCATATCACGTTGTCAGGTCTTCAAAACACAATTTTAGGGTTCTGTCCTGTAGTACCAATTGTGCCCCCTGGTTTCTCATATCTGGGTATCCCAGGGAACTGTCTCCAGGCAGCACAATGAGAGTGTATCCTTAGACATGTACAGCAGTCTCTCATGGTCTTTCGTGTTCTACGGGGGCTGGCCAGAGACGCTGTCCATCTGCCTTGCATGCTTGATGCCAGGCTGGTATGCCCTTACAGTGGGACAAACTATGGGGATTCCCCCTGAAGCACCACCCCCACCCATGCCCGTCTCATACCTTCCAATTTTGGGAGGCATGTGTTGTGAT